CAGTGATTCTCCACTAAGGACATTTTTGCCCTGAAGGGAACATTTAGCAATGTCTGGAGACATTTCTGGTTGTCATAACTGGGGATGGAGTTGCTACTGGCAGCTAATGGGTACAGGTTAGGGATGCACAGGACAGCCTCCCACAACAAAAAATTATCTGGCCCAAAATGTTAATGGTGCCATCGTTGAGATACCCTGACTTAATAAACAGAAAATTCACACCATTGTCACATATGCAATTTGTGACATTGAAGTTAGTGCTTTTCTAACTTCAGATATATAAAATTCCTGATCCAGCTTACCAATTGTTTACCAAAGTCAAGGATACTACAAGCTACTTACTCTGAATAATTTTACATTTTCATTTTTTTTGTATGGGTAGAAAAGCTAAAATTAAAATTAGAACATAATAACAACATAGTGATTCAGAAAGAGGCCTCCTAAATTAAACATACTTAGGTTCAAATAATACCTCAGTTAAATACTTAGTGTGACTTCAGGCAAGTTACTTAACTTGCCAGTATAAGATGAGGATAATATTTCTGTCATAGGGATTTGTGAATGAGATAATGGGTTATAAATAAAAGTTAAATGAAGGTTGTCATTATTCCAATTTACTAGGCAGGCTGAATATGGCTGGAAAGTTGCAGGTTGCTCTTCACTTTTCTAGAATCTCCCTCATTTCCCCCTTCCCAATTCTCTTTTAATTTTGTCTTTCTAATCTGCTGTGAACCAAGATATTAGACATCCACCCTACCAACCTTTTTAGAATTGGGTCTAAAACTAGTTCTAAGTGAAGGCTTGCAAAGCTCCTAGGGGCAAAGTGCATAGATTTCTGCATGTTGACTGCTTAGAGGCCTTAACTTCTAGGTTCCCAGCTATGTCCCAAATAACAGAAGTCTGTTATATAAATAACCTCTAAGTGTTGTTTCTATTACATCACAATAAAATATTGAAAAAAGTTTCCCAAGTAATTATTTTGTTCATACCGTCCAGTAAAACCCCTTGGAATTTAGAAATGCTCTGTTAGATGATGGGAAAATCTAATGCACCAGAACCTAAGATCTGTCCTAAAAAATAACATGATACCTTGGTGTTTGTAAGTTATAAGCTATTGTGAGCTTAGAACAGTGATAATCAGACCCACAAATTTAAAACCTGTCTTTCACTTGCAAATAGCATTTCTTCAATACTTCTAATACTTCTGTAAAAGAATATTATGGAATAATAGATCTTTTGAATAGTTCAAGAGTTATAATCTCTTCTATCCATCAAGATATCTTAATCTTGTGTCCATAAACCTCTCTTTCCAACTTTTCATCCTATTCCATGGATGGATTCCACATGTGCCAAATTCTGCATTTGTGTGTCCGTGTTTTGACACCTAAATAAAAGAATCTATGGGCCCACAGTGGCTATGTATCTTTCAATGAATGGTATCTTAAAATGTGGGTCCAGTCATAGTACAAGTACCACAGGGTTTTACTGTATTTTCTAGTTAGACACTGATGAAGTAAACTTTAAATCTGAGGAAAACAAAATTTTTCAAAATGAGCTCATACTGTCATTTTAAAATATAGCTCTTCATTCCTAAACTTTTCTCCAAAGTGTCAGATACTGCTGATTGTTTCCCAATATGTTCTCCCCTTTTTCCATAATGTTTGTTTTTGTTTTTTTCCTAGACTCACTGACACACAGCAAAATACTACCCTTTCCAATTTCCCTTGTACCCCTTATGGCCAAGTTCTGACCAATGAGATCTATGTACTTTACAGGGCTTTCTTTACCCTTATCTTTCTCCTCTGTCTGCTGGCTGGAACCTTATTCATGGCTTACAACTGGGCTTGTGTAAGAGGGAAACAAATTTCTATCTTATTTAAGCCACTATTATTTTGGTCTCGAACAGTAGCTGATCTAATGACCCACTACAAAACTTTATTCCAAAAAAAAAAAACTGAACAAATTGTCAGATATTTAAGTTCAGTGAGGATTTTAAGGCTTCTGGCAGTTTAGTTTCTAGCCATTCTGCAACTTGATAGATAAATCAATACTTTAATTATGTTGTTCTCAACCAATATTAGGTAAATAATCAATAATGTAAAAATATAAGCTTGGGGGTGCCTGGGTGGTACAGTTGGTTAAACATCCAATTCTTGGTTTCGGCTCAGGTTATGATCTCAGGGTGGTAAGATTCAGCCCTGCGTTGGGCTCCATGCTCAGCGGGGAGTCTGCTTAAGAATCTCTCTCCCTTTCCACACCCACCCCCCAGCTCTCCTTCCGCATGTGGGGGTCTCTTTCTTTCAAATGAATAAATAAATAAATCTTTAAAAAAAAA